TTACGTTATTCAACGTTAATGGAAGTTCCCAAAAATTATATCTTTTTAACAAACCAGATGTGACATTCCTGTTATATCCAAGAAAGTCTTTTTTCTTGTAGATGTTATAATAAAAGCCCATAAAATAAAATCATATTAATGAACCAAATGTGACGTTTCAAATACAAAATACAGTTCATACCTGTTTATTTTTATCTTTTAAATTTAATATGGAATATGGACCATGTTATATAAATATTTTATATTTCATCTATATAAAACTATAAAAATAAATAAACTTGAAGTTAAAAGCTTAGAAGACAAGTTGAACTTCTAATTCCTAATCCCAGAAAATTTTACAGAAAAAGTATAATAATACAATGGTCCAAATTAATATCAAAGGTAAAAGTAAGAACTTTGATGAAATACTTAATACTGAGCAACACTCTGCTCCATAATATACAGTACTACCGGTTACGTAAGTAGCAAGCGATCATTGGTATCTCCATCTATGAACGCGGGACGAACTGTTAGGTCTGCCAGGTCTGCAATGTAAAGACTAAAGATGGGTAACTTGTACACATTACTGTGCTGACCTGTATGCGATATTATTGTGATTTATAAAAATTAACAAATAAATGTTTGTCACAGGAAGTATCAAAAAAGAAGTACAACAGATGTTTATGTAACTGCTAATTCAAGTATTGCAGCGTACAAAAAACTTCATTTGTAGATATATGCGAGGAATGTTAATGAATATGAAGTTAAACTTTAAATATCTATGAGATATTTTGATATTGTTTCAAAAATATATCAAAAAAAGTCTATATGAGAAGCGTTACAAAAAAGACTGGTAATGTTTCATGTTTAGTGGGGTATTTCAGTTGAAGCGAGTTTCGAGAGAAAACATATTTTCTAAAACTTGTTTTTGCGTTCCCTCAAGTCGAAAAAATAATTTAGGTACTGTTGGATTACTTTAAATTATTTTTTCTTTTTGAATTTCTTGTGTCTTAATATGGATATGCAGTCATTTGGCTTAGTATTACTGTCATACACCTAACTCTTTTAGTAATAATAACAGGGGCATTTAGAACTACGCCCACAGCAGCAATGGAGCTACTGCTAGGTCTTCCTCCACTACACCTTGTGGTAGAGAAGGAGGCTATGGCGGCGGCATACAGGCTGTTTACTAATGGATTTGGATGGGAACTTTCGAGAAAAGGACACCACACAATGATATTAGAGAAATTAAAACAAAATCCGGTACTAAGAATGCCATCGGATAGAACGCCCATTACTCACGACTTCAGGAAACCTTTTGATATTCAAATACCAGAAAGGGCCAAAAGCCGGGAAAAAAGGGAAAAACAAAACGAATCAATCTGGTATACAGACGGTTCGAAAATGAAAAACAGCACAGGAGCTGGGATCTACCATGTGAACTCAGGGAGGACAATTAGTTTGAACCTAGGGTTACTGACAACAGTCTTCCAGGCTGAAGTAACAGCAATAAATGCCTGCGCCAAAGTCATGCTAAATGACTCTCTTAGAGATAAGATAATCGTTATCATGACAGACAGTCAGGCAGCCCTTAAAGCACTAAAAAGGGTAGAAGTACAATCTAAATCAATATTTGATTGCCAACAATCCCTCCAGGCTCTGGCAGAACATAACAAGGTTACCCTTGAATGGGTGCCAGGACATGAGGGAGTGTTTGGAAACGAAAAAGCAGACCTCCTAGCAAGGAAGGGAGCGGAAAAAACTCTTATTGGACCAGAACCCACATGTGGTATCTCATACCAACATGTTAAATGGGTGTTAAGGAACAAATAAAAAGAGAACACCATAGGCTCTGGATGGAACTTCCTGGACTTAGACAGTCCAAAAGATTCATAGAGGGGCCATCCACGAGCAGACAACATCAACTGCTAAACCTTAGCAGAAGCGAACTCAAGGCCGTAATAGGACTCCTTACGGGACACTGCGGCCTTAGAAAACACCTAAATCTCTTAGGGATATCTGATGACTCCCTATGCAGAATATGTGAAGAGGAGGACGAAACTCCTCTTCACATACTATGCCACTGCCGGAACCTTAAATGGGAACGGGAATGGTACTTCGGGGTACAATATCCGGAACCTGAAGAAATCGCGAAAGCGCCCATCAGACATATTCTTGAATTCATCAAGAAAATCAATCTGATGGGATAGAAACTGTGAGGGGTACAATAAGCCTAGAGCTTCAGTACAAGTGGGCTTTGAACCACGCCCTAATTCAGATGATGATGATGAACTCTTTTAGTAAATACAAGTGAATTTGTCTTTTTTTAAAGTTTTTCAAGCTATCTGATGCGATAAAAAATAAAAAAATGTATTTTTTTGAGATACCGCTTTTTGGCTTAGAAGGGCAGACTACAAAATCAGCCTACCTTTTTATAAGTTTCATAAGTTTTTAAAAAAATTATAATCATGGGGGGTAATTACCCCCCGTAAATCCGCCCTTGAATTCGACCATGTTCGCCAAAAAGTTGAAGTAAAAATGTGGGAGTTGGATAATATTATAGAGGTTCAGGTAGAACCACTTGTAATTTTGATTAATGAAGATAGCCCTTCAAGTCTAACTAATTTATCCGATTCAGAATAGTGCTAAGTCAAGTAAGGAAGATTGCTATAATACAGGGTATAAGGTGTCTAATCTAAATACTAGTACAACAAGAACAATAAAGAAGAAAAGTTGTCAAAAATACAAAAGGTTTCTTTTTAAAATGCACAATTTTAAATCAAATACCAAATACCTCTTATATTTAAAGTTTTTTTAATGCTTTTAGTAGCTATTAAAGAATTTGCAATTTTTTGGACACCCTGTATAATATAATTTTATAATGATTGTTTTAATGCTCTGTATCACAGTAGACATATATAATGAACTAAATATAATGCAAACATCTCTTTTAAAGTCAAATACATTTATTAATTTGTATTGCAGGTTAACGCAGTTTATGTCGCTCACCTATCTTCGTCCAGAAATGTTACTAAAGTCTGGGAGACCGTGTATGGCATTTATTTTAAAGTTTTAGTTTACAAAATATGTTTTTATCGTAATAAAAAAATAATTTCACAATTACACTCTTTTATTTTACATTTTTGCAAGACGGAAAAGTAAAATACGGCCCTGCTCAATTTTAGCGTCCACCTGCTTCTGTTTACATCAGCGTAAATTAAATTTGAATAGACTTTAATATTATGTTTGATTAGGATTGCGTTCTGAAATTCCATTGTTTTTAACGAAAATCGAAACTTTTCCCATTTATTTAGTTTAGTTTACAATAATGCTTCTTTTTTGTTTTTCACAACATTTATTAAAACACTTTTCTCTAATATTTTTTTCTACATTTTATATAAATCATTTACAATTTAATAATAATATGGAACGTAATATAATAATATTAATATAATAATAATAATAATTTTTATGTATGTATACTTTGTACATCCAGGGTAATTCTTTACGTTTTAGATTTAGACGATTTTTTAGAAACAACCCTAACAAAAATATAAATAAATTAAAAGATTTTTTATTTATTTCAGTTTTTTATGGGTTCAATCAATGAAAATTAATTACCAATATTGTTTTTTTGAGAGATGCTGCACTTTCATGCGTCTTATCGAAATCCACGTTTTTCACTTGATATTAAATTTAAAATATTATTTTACAGTTTTGGTACTGAATTCAATCCGTAAAAATTTAAAAGTTGGATATACAATTTAACAATGGATAATTTATGAAAACTGGATGTTGACGTGACCGTGTTATTTTAAAAACAAAACAAGATTTTTGCAAACTAAATTTAATATTATACATTAAACAAAATTTAAAACGAAATGTACAATCCTGATCCTGCAATACGTCCTGCAGGATGTGGTATTCTCAAGATACCAATGGGAACATAAACTAATTAAAAATTAAATGTTCTGCAATAAAAACTAGACCATGCATGTTATATTTTTGCATCAAACATTTCAAAACGTCCGACGTTGCAAGATGAACATTTCCGCTGTGTTCTGCTAACATTGCAGTTGTACTGCTCTGAGCCATCTCAAATAAGTAGTTCTTTGAGGCATATAAATGATTTTTAAATTTACTCATTGGTTTTTCTATCAATGGTCTTCCTCTTGTTACACGTTCTGGAGATCAAAACTACAAACTAGGATCAATTACCGTCTTTAACAACATCAGCAAGAAATATACAAAAATAAACAACTCATTCATCTCACGACTCTCACATTAGGGACAACCAGATGCACAGAAAAAAATTGATTTTGTGGTAAAATGAAATGATAATAGTAACATTTTTGAAACGAATAATATATTAAAATTATATACAGTGTGTCTCACTTTAGACTGCACCTCCAAAGTATTCTTTTATAGATTATCAAATTAAACAAAATTCACCTTATTATAATCCTGACTAAATTGTACTTTTAGGGTATGTTGATGATGAAATAGAAATATTCATCTTTAAAATTCTCCAGTCCCTATCCTTAAAGTTCAATAGGCTCAGGTCACTTTAGATCTTAAGGTAAAAAAATTTTAAATAAAAAAAAATTATTAGTACATATACTAATTTTTTCCTGTAAACAGATTTTAAAAAGTTTTAAAATAAGTTTATTTTTCTAAGAATTTCAAAAAACCATTCGTTCTCTTTAAAATTTAATATTAATCTTTTCCAATTTTAAAATTGATTGTTTTATATAATTAAATAAGATCCAGTTAATTAAATAAAGTAGAATAAAATATTTTAAAATAGACAAAATAAAAAAAGCACCTACTTTTAAATTTATATCACACATTTTAAAACAATATATTCCCTTATACACGATAAAAGAACAATGAATTAAAAATAATTCAAAGAGAAATATTTTAAGAAATTTAACTCTAAATATATCACATTTAGCAAAATTATATATTCTTTAAAAAGCAACTAATTCTAACTCGTAAAGAATCAACCTGTAAATACCATCCTTTAAAACATTAACTTTACGCAGAAACCGTTTCTACCATGGATTTTTTAATAATCTCTCCAAAATTTTCATCAGCCTCTTCCGAATTGGTCGAATTTTCGTTACTTTTTTCCGCGCCGTTTTGGGAAGTTTCGTTCAAATTACTGAACTCTCCTTCGTAGGTCGGATAACTTCCATATCGTCCGTTGAGTAATTCCGAAAACGATTCGATTTTATTAGTGGAAGTCACGGGATTCAAACTCGTGTATTGGTTTTCTTTTGATTCCGTGAAATTTTCGTTGGTGAAATTTTCATAAGGGGGTTGTTGTTGTTGATGGTGGAAACTCCCATCGAGAGGCTTTTGCGTGAATTCGGGGATGTACATTCCTCCGTAGGGATTGAATATGGGGGCGAATTCGGAGAAACTACTTTGATACCCTGAAAAATAAAATGTAAAATTAACTATATTATTGAGTTGAATATAAAATAATAGGTGAGAGTCTCTATGAAGCGACCTGTCAAAACCAATTGCAATTTGAATTGTCTCATTAAAAAATATTTTATTGAATAAATAGAAAAGTATGTTCAATTCTCCTATGATGAGAAAAAAAAGTTCTACTAAATTAAAGAATGGACCAAACTTCAAATATGGTTAGTTTGGATAAAAATAAGTTCATTTAGCCAATTTACCTAAGTAGAATTTTGCTTGCTTAAGAAATTACAAGGTGGAGAAAATATTTTTTTTTCAATATTTTTATGATAACTCAAACACTTAAGTAAATATACCCAAACAGGGGCGGCTCGTGAGCAAAATTTTGGGGGTTCACAGTAGCAGAATATAGATCTCGGTACAGATGTAAGTAAAAAACATACATCTGTACTGATATCTATATTCTGTCACTGTGAACCCTCAAAATTTGGGTCACGAACCGCCACTGTACCCAAATTTTGTGAAAGTAAGTTTTTTTTAGGTGATACAAACGAATACCAGATTATTTGTTGCATTACATGTACAGGGCGTTCTAAACTGACGTGCCAATCTAGTATGTACTTCAGATTTTTTTTAAGAATGAACATTTTTGAAAAATGATTAATTATTTTGAAATAGCGTTCAATTTGCTTTAAAAAAGACGCCAGACAAAAAATCTTGCATTGTAAGGGTTTTGTAGTACCCCACCACTTTTAAAGTTTATTTTAAACTATAATAATAATAATAATAAT